GTAACACCAGGGGCCCCTTTCACTCTGCTCACCTGGGCCTATATGGGCAGCCCCCTCCCCAGCACACCCTGTGAAGCCTGGAGAGCCCACCAGTGCTGGGGGGCACCAGGCACTGGAGTCTGAATCTCAGCGCTGGATCTGGAGCGATTACCTGCTACTCTGCCGGCTCCCAACACCACAGTTCCTGCGCAGCCCTTCAGATCAGCCCTGCCTGCCCCCAGGGCCTGGGGTATGAGCGGGGGCTCTGTACAACACCCTTCCACCGCCCCCCCCAACACACACACACACTGCTGAGCCATTGCTATGTACCTCTCGGCTGCTCCACCCCAGAGGCAGCTGCATGCCCATGGTGCTGCAGTATGGACAGAGCTGTTGGGACGTAGCATCCTGCCCAAAGGCCCCCTTGCCAGTGCTGTAACACAGCCCCAGCCACCCAGCATGGTCACTAGGTCACTTAGAGCCAGGCAGAGCTTCACACAGCGGTGGTGACGGAGTGCCCGTCCTGCTGCCCCAACAGCAGAGGGAGCTCTCACATGTGCCAAGGGAGCATCTCTGGCATCAGTGAGCAGTGCGGGGCCTATGACACACAAGGGACAGTTCTGATTCCATCCATGGCCAGACCCAGACACATGCCACTTCATGCCCACAGAAGTGAAGTCCTCACGCTTCCGAGTGCAGAGACACCCATTGCCCCAGATTCAGCCTGATGCAAGCTGGCAGAGCCGTTACTGGAGCCATTCCTGGCACATCTTCCACACTGAGCCGAGGCCCAGGCAGCACCAGGGCTGCATCGTCAGCAACTCGGCCAGCAGGAGGGAGACCGGCCACAGCCGCAGAGCTCAAGGCTGGAACCACTGGATCCAGTTGGCCCCATGTCTCAGGCTGCTTCGCCCCAGGGGGTTGGCTCAGGACATTCCCCAAATAGCTGGGACAGTTGGGAGATTCTCCCTTCCAAGGGTTTCCTCTTCCCTCTGTCCCACTCGCATTCAGGGTAGGGGAGCAAGCCCACAGGTATGCCCAGCCTGGAGAGTCCACAGGGGAGGGGACAGCCAACCTGTCACAGCCAGGGACACCACCACAGGGAAAGAATGAGCCAATCACAGCCAGCGCGCAAGACCCCTCTGAGGGAGTGACTCTCAGTCCCATGGGGGAGCCGCTCAGAGCCCCAAGTACATGCTGTGCTTCCCCTCACTGGGTCTCCCCCCGCTTATGGCAGCTTTGGCACCTGTGGAGGCGGCCGAGCTGAGCCACAAAGGGGACAGGAGGCACCGGGCAAGGTAATCCCAACCCTCAGCCCCACCATGCCTGCCCTCCACACCCCCTTCTCTGCCACTGCCCCACACTCCTGACCCACAGCCCCTAGCCTGGGGCTCTACACCCCCAGCTCTGCCAGCACCCCTCAATCCTGACCCACAGCCCCTAGCCTGCCCTCCACACCCCCTTCTCAGCCACTGCCCCACACTCCTGACCCACAGCCCCTAGCCTGGAGCTCTACACCCCCAGCTCTGCCAGCGCCCCTCAATCCTGACCCACAGCCCCTTGCTATCCCGGCCCTGGGTTCCCCTCCCCACTGCTCTGCCAGTGCCCCTCAGTCCTGACCCAGAGCTCCGTGGGCTCCTCCAGTGAAGGCTGCTGGCTCAGCCATGGCAGAGAAGTTAATGGGGCAGAACAGGTGAGCTGCGGAGGAACATGGCATTCAAACAGGGTTCAAAAGAGAACTAGATAGGTTCATGGAGGATAGGTCCATCGATGGCGATTAGCCAGGATGGGCAGGGATGGTGTCCCTAGCCTCTGTTTGCCTGAAGCTGGGAATGGATGACAGGGGATGGATCACTTGATGATCACCTGTTCTGTTCACTCTCTCTGGGGCACTGGCCGCTGTCAGGAGACCGGATACTGGGCTAGATGGACCTTTGGTCTGACCCAGTATGAATGCTCTTATGTTCTTCCTCCTTGCCCCATCCCAGAGTAGCGGCTCCCCCAGACACACACTGCCCCAGACAGGAGGAGGGAGGCCCCGCCTGTTCCCTTCAGGGCTGTGGCTGTGGTCGGAACAGCAGTGGTCCAGACAGCAAGTGGGGCCAGGGGGCGCACTGTATGGCAGGGTTCACCCATCAAGCTGTGGGGACCAGGCTCTGAGCAGCCCAGGGATCAGCAGGTTAGGGTTAGTCAGGGAAGCATCCCATCTGTGGGAGAGGGGGTGTCTGCCCTGTAGCAGGGAGTGGGAGGAGCTGGAATAGCTGGGGTCAGAGCTGGAGCAGGGCCAAACTCCATTTGTGGCCAGGAGACATGTCACCTGTGACTGGGGGCTCTGATCTGAGGGGGGGGGGGCAAGAGAGAGAGACTGATTGGGAGACCTACACAGGCAGTTGCTCCAAACCCAGCCCTCCAGTGCCCTCACCCCCCCCACACACACACCCTTCTGTCACCACCACACCCCCCCACTGTCAGGGGCTCTCCCTAGGCAATGCCAGCTCCTGCACCTGTTACCACTGCCCTCTCTTACATGCTCAGCCCTGCTCCCCCAGGTCACCGGCTCCGCACTGTTAACAGCTGATGGAGATTCTCCTGCAGCTCAGGCTTCGGAGCCTGGGTTTTTGGAGCAGGGTGGTGGCGCTCCGGGCCCCTCTCACTGCACCACACAGCTCACAGACAGGGCGCATGTACAGGCAGCTGGGAAGTCCCTGTGGCCAACGCATGAAAGAAAGACCCTGAGACACGAGGAAGGGAGTGAACTTGCTGCCCACCCACAGCACCTGCCACGCAGTGCGTGGCAGGGGAGTCCGAGAGCTTATGGGGCAAAGCTTCAGCTTGCAGGGAGGCACCATGCTCCACCCCCCAGCAGAGGAGCAGCCGCCCAGCAAGGGGGCTCACACAGCGCAAGGGACGGAGAACCCAGGTGTCCTGACAACAACCCTTGCTTGAGCCCCTCCCTGCTGCATGATGACACAGGGACAGGCCCCAGCGCCAGCCTGGAGGGATCCAGGCATTTTGGGACACCTCTGTTTGTTCCTAGCCAGTCGCCAGAGACAGGAGTGAGTGCTCCATCCCCTGGGAGGCACCGTTGTGCTGCTCCCTCCTCCACAGCGACAGGCACCTGGGATTTGGTGAACACACAGCTGGGAAGCAGCCTGCCGCCGCTTGAGGGGCAGCCGCTAGTGGGGCTGGAGCAGTCAGCTGGTGTAGGAGAGCCTGGCACATTGGGGTCAGGTAGTGCAGTGGGTCAGGCAGAGGCTCAAAGCTGCAACTTGACTTCAGCAGGACCCTACACAAGCTTCCTACAGGAGACCTTAATACCCTTGCCTGCCAGGAGCTTCTGGGGGCCCCATGCCAATGGGCAGAGCTGGGTCCGAAAGCCAAACCCTGGGGCTCGCACTCTGGGTGCATGTATCTGTCCATCCATCCCTCTCCCCTCCTCGGACGGTCTCTTTAGAGACACAGCATAGCCTGGAACTCTGGATTCATGTTTTGTTGCGTGGATGGATGGTAGGAGAGAGATCACTTGATCATTACCTGTTAGGTTCACAGTAAGGCCATTCTTACGTTCTTACGTCTCCACAGAGAGAAGCTCTGCGAACAAAGCCAGGAACAGACCCAGACCCGCTTCCATCCAGGGCCCCGGAGACTGTCACTACAGGGTGCTCTTTGCCAGGCCCTTGGCCATGCCTGGGTCATGACGGCTCCCAACACCGCTGGCACTAACTGGCTGCATTTGCTGCCCAGGGCTGTATGAGCCTCCTCTGCCCCTAGGACGGGATGAGCTTATCTGCCCCCAGCATGGTCATCCCAGCACCCCTGGATTCTGAGCACTGCACACTTGCTCCCAGCCTGGCTGCTCTCGCCTCCCCAGAAGAGGGCATGGGGCTCCCTCCCAAGGTCCCTCCCTCTGTACCTTCCCATCGTGTGCACCTTTTCCTGGCACTGGGCGGAGGCCGGCCAGCCCAGGGCTGCCTCTGCAGTTACTGCCCTCAAGGGAGCCCTGCAGAGTGACGTCAGTCTCATGCTCCCCCCCCACCCCCAACGAGTGTCAGCCCAGCAGTGCTCAGCTGCGGCTGGGAGAGCCCAGCTGGGGTGGCGCCAGGCTGGGGTACCAGGGCATCCCCAGCAGCTCCAGACTGGTGCTAAACTTCGACTTAAGCTGGAGCAGAGCTGCCCCAAGAGTGGCCGAGCCTGGGACCAGCAGGACTTTCACACTGAGCGCCAGAGCCAGGAACACAGAGCCCAGGGCTGGCTCCACCTGGACCAAGCACCCCGGTCGCCAGGATACCACTAATCACACTTGCAGCTGTGGGTGGGTGGGGGAGGGGTGTTACCGGCCGAGGGTGTAGCTGGGATGGGAGGTCACCTCCCCACTGCATCCTCACCACGTGCAGCACAGTCAGGGCACAGCAGGCTTTGGGTGCTGGATTCCCCAGGCCCCCAGCCACCCACAGGGACTCCTCCATCAGGGGACAGAGCCCGAGCAGTGAAGGGAGGGACACCCCAGGGTCTCAGAAGGGCTGTGCTCTACCCAGCCCGCTTCTGAGTGCCCAGCATCCAGCCATATGATTAGCAGCCTTTCCTCAGGGCTTCACTGTCACCCACATCCCACCAGGCAGGGGAGACCTGGGGCCAGCCACCCCTCAGTGCCCACCTCTATTCCCCCTGGGGCACACTCAGCCCCTGCAAGGGGGCACAGACACCAGCCGGGGAGGAGCCTGTCTCCAAGAGTGGGGCCAAAGCCCCAGAGCCATGGGGCCATGGTGATGCTAAGGGGACCAGGGCTGAGCCAGGTCGCCCCCAGTGGGGTGTGGGCAAGGGGGGGGGCAGCCCCTTGGAGGCGGTTCCCCCGCCCCTCGGCCAGCCAGCTGGGAAAGTGTCACCAGCCCCCGACTCCAGCATCTCTGGAGCCAGCCCGCGGAGCTGAGCGCGGGTGCCCGTCGGGGGGCGGGGGTCCCCCGGCTCTCCCCAGCCGGGCTCCCCCGCGGCCCCTCCGCCCATCGCCCGGCCCAGAACCTCACCTGGCTCATGGCGCTGCGCGGGGCGGGCCTGGTGGGGACGCTACGCGGCGATCGCGGCTCCGCGGGTCTGGAGCCGGCTGCGCCCTCGCCGCCTTTATAGCATATGGCCGGACCCCGCGCGGTGCCCGACTGACAGCCCCGGGCAGCCAATGGGGGAGCGCAGCGCTCTGCTGCATTTCCAAACTAGGCTAAGGCGGGCCGAGAGTAAACAGGAGCGGGGAGGGAGGGGGACTGCGCTGCGCCCAGGCAGCTGGAGGGGGCGGCAGGGGGTCTCCGATGCGCCCAGGCAGCTGGGGAGGGGAGGCAGGGGGTCTGGGCTGCGTCCAGGTAGCTGGGGTGAGGCTGAGGACTGTGGGGGTGGGGGCTGCGCCCAGGCAGCTGGGTGGGGGGCTGGGACCGGAGGGGGGCTGCGCAGGCAGGTGCCTCTCGGCGGGGTCAGCCCACCCCACTCCCCTCTCCATAGGCCGCCCGGGCCCCCGTTCTTGGGATCTGGCCGTGCCCTGTCCCCGCACGGGATCCCTTCCCCTGGGCTCCTGCCGGGCTGCCCCCGGCACAGCCCTCGGGCTCCCTGGAGTGCAGGCTCCGGAGCGCCCCAGCTAGGGGTCTCCGGGAGCGGCTGGCGCCGTTACATAACCCTTGGGTACCAGCCCCTGGCTGCTGCCCCGGCCCTGCCCCGCAGGAAGCGGCTGAGCGGAGACAGAGATCCCCGCCGGGGCTTTTCCAGCCCGCGCAGGGTCCCTCTGCGCCTCCGCTTCCTTCCTGCTTCTTGGCACCGCCCGGAACCCGCCGATCTCCCGTGTGTAGGCAGCCCTGAGGGGAGACCCCCCTAACCGCCCCCATCTAGCAACGGGGCGCCCCTCTAGCCCTCCGGGACTCCCGCAGCGCTGGGGAGAACCAACCCTCACACAGACCCTGCGCTCCGGGCCGGGTTATCGGCCCCTGTGCAGCGCGGAAATGGAGCTGAGTAACTTGTTCAAGGTCAGGCAGCGAGTGAGAGCTGGGAATTGAACCCAGGAGTCCTGGTGCCCGCGCCCCCCGCACTCCCTTCTATCACACTCCCTCCCAGAGCTGGGCATGGAACCCACGAGTCCCTGGCTCTAACCTGCCAAGGAGGATGCCAGGGGTTCTGTGGGCACGTGGCTCCTGTTTGTCTTTCCAGTTGTTCCCTGGGACTCCCATGGGTGCTAGGACTGGAAATAACATGGCACCTCTGGGCTTCCCTAAGACAGTGATGAAATCTAGTGAAATCCAGAGGCTCTGACCAGCCCATCTCACCAGCTTCAATGCCAGCTCTCAGGCAGTAGCCCTTCTGCATAGATCCTGCTCTGGATCAATGAACTCTGCACAGGTGCCAGCTAGAACCTCAGTTGCAACCGTGTGTCATCCTCAGGCAGTTCTCGCCAACAGGAGCTCCAGCACCCACTCACCCAGGGGCAGACCTAATGCACCGGCTGAATGTGTGAGAGCGTGGCGCCCCCTAGCGGCCAGTACCGATAACAACCTCCGCTAACAGGGTTACCCGTTTAGCTCAAACTACAGGGCCAGCAGGTTCAATCCCTGCTCCTGCCCGGACCGGTTTCATATGTGCTCTGTGAGGTGATTAACCTCCTAGTTACTGAGCTCAAATGTAACACTACAGAAAACAAAGTGTGTCAGCCTGGAGTACAGGACCCTTTACAGGGGTGCTCCAGAGAGTGGGGAGCAGAAAGTAGAGCCCCATGCTGCTGTCCTGAGGTGGGAATCTAATTTCTGACAGCAGGGGCTGCCCTTCTGCAAGAGGGGGAAGCAATGGAGCCCTGGATCCGGCTGCTATGACATCCCCTGTCCTGAGACAGCCCTGCTTTGGGTCCCCTGGGAGGGGGGGTCTTCACCACGTGGATGGTGTGAACCCCACAAGGAGGAGCCAGGATGCTAAGAGAGGCTGTAGGCTGAATTGAGTGGAGCTGCCCTCAGGGGATTCCCAATCTCCCCTGCTGCCCAGCAAACTTTGTTCCTGTGGCCTCTGTGTGGGCTGTCCAGGGCTGAGCCTGGCAGTGCTGTCCTGGCTCCTGCTCCCAGGTAGCACTCGCTCACCCATATGGATGTGGCTAAGTGGTGTCTGGCTTCGGATGCTGCTTTTGCCTCATGTTTAATTTAAGGCAGAAGCTGCAGCTGATAAAGAATTCATGCAGCGGCACTGAGGTCAGGGAAGGTGCCGAGGTTCCCATTGACAGCAGCAGGCCACTGGGCTCCCTGCTAGTGCCAGCGCCACACACCCTGTCTTGCCCCTCTGCCATGTTCTAGCTTGGAGCTGCCAGGCAGAGGTGCTTGGCATGGTGGATGCCCAGCCTTGGCCCCGCCACTCCCGCTGGGGCACCGGGCTTGCCCATAGACAACAGGCTTTGTGCTGCTCCTCCCAGCCACTTGCCCTTCCCCTCCTCTCTGAGCTCACAGCGGTCATAGCTTCAGATCCCATGGTGTCCCATCCAGTCCCTCCACAGGCCTGGGGCCAGGCAGGATTGTCCCTAGAGTTCTGCCCCAGACAGCACTGGGTCTGCCAGCCCTTCCCTTGGGGAGCGCTAGGGGGATTTCCAGTCCTGCCCTGGGCAGGCCCCAATGCCCAGCCCAGCTCCGGCCCCTGCGCCCAGCCCAGCTCCCCCTGCCTAGGGCAGGCCCTAATGCTCAACCCCAGCCTGGGCCTCGTGGGAGCTGACCTGCAGCACAGGCTCACCCCATGGTACACACAGCACAGTGACTTCAAACTGACCATCACATTCACACTTGGATCAACAATCAACACTGACTGTCCTCCTACAAAGTGATACACATGAGCTCACTCTGGGGCTGAAACACACTCACTGGGTCTCTCTCACACACACACTGGGACTGACACACACACACTGAAGCTGACACACTCACTGGGGCTGACACACTCAGGCTGACACACCCATGCTCTGGGGCTCACACACACACTCACTAGGGCTGACACACACACACAGAGGAAAAGACCGAGTCACCCTGGGGCCTCCCACAGGCAGCGCTGTCTGCCCTCCTGGAGCTGCACACCCCATCCAGGTGAACCTGGGGACAGAGAGCTTGGCCACCAAGACCAGCAGGGCCAAACCTCCCCATGAGCCAGCTCCCTGAGTCAGTGAAAGTCCAGCCCTGCCCCATAGCTGGAGGGCTTTGGTCCTGCCTACTCTGCCAGCAGCTCCCCATTCCCTCTCCAGTCAGGCATGCTCATTCCTGGCACTGCCTGAACACACACACACACACACACACACACACACGCTGCACCTCTGTATTCATACGCACACTGCACTTGTACATACATTCATACCACACGCACACCCCAACACACTCATTCACAGAACAATCACTTACTGTCTCTGCTTATCAGCCCTTCGCACTCCTACGCAGCATCTCCCTCCTCTGAGGGTCTCAGAGCACTGGGCATGCAAATGCTAATGAGCTGTGTGCCTCATCCTCTTGGCTCGATGTGGGACCCCTCTGTGCCTCAGTTTCCCCTCTGTGGCGGGGATAATGCCCCGAGGGCTGGGAAGGTAAATCCATTCATGTCTGCAGAGGCACTGAGCTCCCCAGATGGAGATGCCAGTGTCCCATGCCTGCTGGGTGAGGGGTCTCCGTGGCTTTGGGCTGGCTGTGACAGATGCCCCTGCGTCTGCACGCAGTGCCCCACCACCGCTGCCCAGGCAGGTAGCACCCACCATGTGCCCGGCCTTAGCCATTCCGGGGGGCGGGGGGAGGGCTGGCTGCCCCAGTGGCTCCTTCGCTGCTGCAGCAATCCAGGCTTCGTGGCCTTTCCCCAGCAAAAGCGGAGTCCCAGGGGCCCGTGCGGCAGGGGAGGGGGCAGGACAGAATGGGACTGTCATGGGAAAATAAAGACATCCTGTTCCAAACTGTGGTCCTGGCCTGAGCCATTGCGTCGAGGACAGGGGGAGCCAGGCAGAGTGGAACGGCCCTGAGCGGCTCAGTGCAGATTAATGAAGCTTTTCAAAGTTTCATTAGCAGGAAATCGGTCTTGATCGCCCAGGGATTGGAGCATTAATCAGGGCAGCCAGAGTTTGCTCTGCGCAGTTCTCTCCAGTGCTGGCAGAGCATTGGGTGGGAGCTGGAGCAGGACCCTTCTCGGGGATGCTTATCTCGTGATGCAGATTGCAGCTGGAACATGGCTTGTGGGGGCATCTACACCTCCAGGATGGGGCAGCCCCCCCCCTCCACCTACTGTTCCTCCAGCCTGGCCCAGCCCTGCCTGAGGAGGGGGAGCTCAGTCCATGTGGTGGTGCATCTCTGGTGCAAGCACCAGAAGCCAGACTGGCCGCCCCCAGGTCATTCTGTACAGGCTCCCAACGAGCCCTGGCCGGGTGCTTTCATCACAACTGCCCCGGGCTGGATTCAAACAGGGAAACGAGAGGGGAAGGGCTCCGTACCCAAAGGGATTGTCAGGAGATCCCAGCAGATACCTACTGTGCTGAGCGCCTTTGGAAATCTGCCCCCACCCCCCTTCCCAGGTCTAGATGACAGCAGAGTGGCTGTGGTGGGTACTTGTGAGACAGACAGACCACTGCTCCCTAGTGGATGGAGTTGGAACTGCCCCCACCTGTTGTCATGGCCCACACACTGATTCTCCATAGCCCAAGCCAGGGGCTTTGCTTGGGGAGTAGGAGTGTCTGTGCTCCAGTCCTGCTACAGCTGCGACGTTCCCCTTGCCCTGGTGTGCCACACGGGGACAGCCCCGGGGGCCACAGATTGGTTCCAGTATCTCTGTGTTCCTGCATGGCCAGTACCTGAGCACCGTGGCCCATTCCCACCCCCCGAGCCTGCATCCCTTGGTGTGGGGGAAGGTGTGTACCTGAGATTCCCCAGAGCATGGAGTTCACACTGTGGGCCCAGAGAGCAGGGCTCCAGCTCAGAAATCTCTGGAGAGCCCGGCTTCCTGGGGGAACATCAGTGCCCAGCCTTAGCCTGGCTCCCCCTGCCCTGCGCAGGCCCCGGTGCCCAATCCCAGCCTGGCTGCCCTCCCCTGGGCAGGTCCCAGTGCCCGGCCCAGCCTGGGCTGGGGGAACTGAACCAGTCTGCCCTCATTCCTGAGCTGCGGAGGAAGTTCCCGGAGTTTCAAACTCTATGAGCCAAGAGCAACGGAAGGGCAGTGCCAGTGGGTGCTGGGCTCTGCTAGGTGCAGGAGGCTGGGATGGGGGCACTGAAAGCCCATGAGTGGAGACAGCCAAACACCCCCCTCTCAGACTGCCAGGCTTGGCCTGGCACTGCCCCCAGTCCAGTTTCCCACAAGGATCTGTGACTTGGGAGTGCCCAGGGGACAAGCAGGGCCGACTTCTCAGCCCTAGGACATTAAGGTAATGGGTGTCGGGCAGGCCTTTCCACCCCTCAGGCTGGGCTGAGTGTGAACGGGAGGCTGCGAGCCCCAGAGTGTGTGTGTGTGTGTGTCCCTGTGTGTGTGTCAGCTCCAGTGTGTTACCTCTCAGGGGCCACCCAGGACACACTGTCCCCATGTGCCCAAGGTCGTCTCCCTGGCTGCTCCCACCTCCCTCACCCTCCAGCTGCTCCCCCCTCCCTATATTCCCCCCAGCTACTCCCCCCCCCACCCATCCCTACTGCTCCTGGCCTCCACTCCTTGAAGTTCAAAGTTCAAATTCCACCCAATTGTGAAATAAATCAATCTGAATCTGCCTGTGCGGACGCCGCTGGGGAGGGAGCAGAGTCCCGGCCTGCGGGGAGCCTGGGAGCCAGCCCCCCATCTGCTCCCAGCCACACACCCCCAACCCACACCATCGGTGAGCGGGCACACGGGATGGGTGGGAGGGAAGGGGAGGGGGGGCAGCTAGGCTGAGGGGCCGGGGTGGCACAGGGTCTCCGCCTGTGTTTCCATGCATCAAGAAGGGACAGAGACAGCGAGCTGGAGTTAATGCCCCTCTTAATTCAGGGCCAGCCAGGCGAGGTCCCCGGGTCTTCACACTAATGGGGGCCCCCTGCCTGGGCTCAATTCTGCTCAGGAGAGTGAGAGGGACTGGGGCCAACGTGAGTGAACAGCTGGGGAGACTGATAAGGCAGGTCTCTGGCAGGGAGAGGGGGCTTTGAACAAGTGATTGCAGGGGAATCATGAGAGCTCCGCAGCTGCCGCTGCCCCCCTGTGACCGGGGGAGCCACCCAGCCCCAGCCTCAGCCCTTCAGCCTCCTCCCTGCCCCTTTCGTCCCCCTCTGGGTGCCAATCTCTGCCTGGTGCCCCCAGCCCTGGACAGCTGCCCATTTCTAATGAACTTTGCCTTCTCCAGGCTGGCTAATCTCCCCCCACGCTGGGTTAACATCCCCCGCACAGGCCCCGGACTGACCCGGGAGGGGACCATGGGGACAGCTCCTCACAGCCAGGCAGGTCACCTTGGCTCCCAGAGCAGCCTGCTTCACCTTGACGAGGGGGCAGGCAGGGGGACCAAGCGCAACAGGCACTGGGGTGACACCCTCACGCAGGGCACCAAGAGGTTGGGCTCCTGACTCCAGCAGAGCACGGCAGGGCAGGGCAGGTCCAGCCCGAGACACAAAAACTGCCCTGATGGGCAGGCAGAGTGTTGCACACACACGGCGATGATGCTTGGCTTGGGCTTGGGCTAGGAGGGAACTTGAACCCAAGTCAGCCAGATCCCAGGCAAGTGCTCTACCCACTGGGCTAGTATGAACAAAACAGCTGCTGCTGCTGCCCCTCCTCCTTGGACAGTTTGCTGTGGAGCGAGGCACCTGCCTCTCTCATTCTCACCAGAAAGGCCTGAGGCACCAGACGCCATGTGAGGGGCTCCCGGGTGACTCACTGGCAGAGCTGGGCAACTCCTTGCAGCCAGCGCTTAGGGGCCTAGCTTGGTGAGGGGTTGGGGCTTAGCTCACACCCCTCCGGTCGACATCTCCCATTGGCTGGCTTAGTTGGTTCCCTCCCCCCGCTTGGAGTGTGGGTCACAGCAGTGTCAGGTGCCCCTCCCCCCCTTCAGTGTACAACAGCCCAAGCCCCTGGCTGTGTGGGTCGTAGTGTCAGGCGCCTCTCCCCCCATTCAGTGTATGGGAGCCCAGGCCCCTGGCTGTGTGGGTCGCAGTGTCAGGCGCCTCTCCCCTCATTCAGTGTATGGGAGCCCAGGCCCCTGGCTGTGTGGGTCGCAGGGTGTTCCTGTGATTTGCTCGGTGCTTAAAAGTTAGTGCTGCCCCAGTCTCAGCATCACAGCATCTCAGCCCCTCTTGGGGCTTCCTGCCCATCTGTAAAGTGAGGAGCAAACATCCCTACTCCCCAGGGGCTGAGAGGAGACAACCCATGAACCATTGTGATGGGGCTTGGATATAGCAGTGGGCTGGACCAGCTATGTACTGAGAGAGCTAGGTCACTAGGTAGATAGAGGGACAGATGGGGGTGTGTGGGGATAGATAGAGGGATCTATGGGGATAGAAGGGTGGGTGGGGATAGATGGGTATGTATGGGGACAGAAGGGGGTGTATCGGGATAGATGGGGCTGTATGGGGATACATAGAGGGGTTAACGGGGATAATAGAGGGGTGTACGGGGATAGATCAGGGGTGGGCAAACTTTTTGGCCCAAGGGCCACATCAGGGTTGCAAAACTGTATGGAAGGCTGCATAGGGAAGGCTGTGCCTCCCCAAACAGCCTGGCCCCCGCCACCTATCCGACCCCTCCCACTTCCCGCCCCCTGACTGCCCCCCCTCAGAACCCCCCAACCCCCCCCGCTCCTTGTCTCCTGACTGCCCCCTCCTGGGACCCCCTCGCCCCTCAATCCAACCCCCCCAGGACTCCACCCCCTATCTAACCGCCCCCTGCTCCCTGACTGCCCCGACCGCTATCCACACCCCCGCCCCCTGACAGGCCCCCCGGGACTCCCACGCTTATCCAACACCCCCATTCCCATTCCCCAATCGCCCCGCACCCAAACCTCCACCCCATCCTACCACCTCCTGCTCCCTGTCCCCTGACTGCCCCCCGGGACCCCCTGACCCTTAATCCAACCCCCGGCCCCCACCCCCTTACCATGCCGCTCAAAGCAGCATGTCTGGCAGCCACGCCTCCTGGCCAGAGCCAGACACGCTGCCGTGCTGCCCTGCAGGAGCGCGCAGCCCTGCTGCCCAGAGTGCTGCCCGCGTGGCAGCGTGGCTGTGGGGGAGGGGACAGCGGGGGAGGGCCAGGGGCTAGCCTCCCCAGCCGGGAGCTCAAGGGCCAGACAGGACGGTCCAGCAGGCCGTATGTTGCCTGCAGGCCATAGTTTGCCCACCTCTGGGATAGATGGTGGAGGTGTGTGTATGGGGATAGAAGGGGGATGTATGGGGGAGATGGGGATAGATGGGGGGTGTATGGGAGAGATAGCAGGGTGTATGGGGATAGATGGGGGTATGGGGATAGATGGGGGTGTATGGGGTAGATGGGGGTGTATGGGGGTAGTTGGGGGTGTATGGAGATAGAGAGATGGGTGTATGGGGATAGAAGAGGGTGTCTGGGGATAGCCAGAGGGGTGTATGGGGATAGATGGGGGTGTATGGGG